TACATTGGTGGATTTTGTCTGCAACAGTAATTACGGTGATCTTATTTTGCTTGTTTGTTGGCTTGTTTTTGTTGTTGTTGTTGTTGTTGCAGTACTGGGGTTTGTACTCAAGGCCTCCACCGTGAGCCACTCCACCAGCCCTTTTTTTGTGATGGGTTTTTTCCAGATAGGGTCTCCGGAACCCGCAATCCTCCTGATCTCTGCCTCCTAGACAGATAGTATTAGAAGTGTGAGCCACTGCCGCCCTGCTTTTTTTTTTTTTTTTTTTTTTTGAGACAGGAGCTCACTATGTAGCCCAGTCTGGCTTCAAACTTGTAATCCTCCTGCCTCAGCATCCAGAGTGCTGGAATTATAGGCACAAGCTACCATACCTGGCTAGGGTTTCTTTTTTGTTTTGTTTTCTTTTGGTGATACTGGGGTTTGAACTCAGGACTTCAAGTTTACTAGGAAGGCCCCCAATCCTTTTTGACTTCAGCTGTTTTTTAGATAGGGTCTCACACTTTTTGCATGGAGCTGACCTCAGAAAGTCAGTGGATTTTAGGTATACGCTACCACAGAAAGATTTTTTTTTTCCTTAAGGATCTGTGTTGCCCAGGGTGGCCTTGAACTCAACTGATCCTCCTGCCTAGCCTGCAGAGTAGATGGGATGTGTGCCACCATGCCCCACTAGGAGCTGTCTCGTTCTTTTACACAGTTTCCCAGTGTATTTAATACTTTCTTAAATATCCTCCAACTAATGAGCATTTCAGCTGTTTCCAAATGCTTCCTATGACAATACTGTAGTGTTCCAATGTGCACATTGGATACATCTGTCAGAAGAGGGCAGATCAAAGGGCATGTACATATTCCATCTACATTTTTTTTAATGTTTTGGTGGGACTGGGGTTTGAACTCTGGGCTTCACACTTGCAAAGCATGTGCTCTACTGTTTGAGCCACACCTCCAAGTCCATTTTGCTCTGGTTATTTTGGAAATGGGGTCTTAAGAACGATTTGCCTAGGCTGGCCTCCAACCAAGACTCTCCCAGTCTCAGCCTCCCACGTAGCTAGGATTATATGCGTGAACCACTGGAGCTAGCTCATATTGTCTCTCGTAAAGGCTGCACCAATTATTCCTGTAATAGTGTCCTAGGGGTGCCATAACAAAGTAGCACAAACTATGTAGCTTAAAACAATGGAAATTTATTCCTTCACATCTCTGGAGGCTAGAAGTCTGAAACCAAGGTGTCAGCAGAGCCCTGCTCCCTCTGCAGTCTACAGGGAAGAATCCTTCCTTGCTTCTTCTAGTGTCTGGTGCTTACAGGCAGCCCTTGGTGTGCCCTGGCCTGTATGTGCATAACTCCAATCTCTGCCTCATGTGACCACCTTTCTGCTGCGTCCGAATTTCCCTCTTTCAGTAAGGATACTGGCCACTGGATGAGGGCCCCATCCCAATCCAGCATGACCTCATCTTAACTGGATTATATTTGCAAAACCCTGTTTCCAAATCCTGTCACATTTTCACAGGGTCCAGCTCTCATTAGTTTTTGGAAACACTCTTCAACCTAGCTCATGTCCCCACTAGTAGCATTTGAGAGTGAAATTGAACTTCCTTAAATGTTCTCCAGGGACTTGAGTGGCAGTGACAGGATTAGGAATTAATTTTGGTTATTGGATTCTGCTTCTCTGTAACTCGATGCTCAGTAGGGACTGGGCTGTGTGGGTTGCAGACAAGGGTTGGCTCCTCATGTGACATCTGGGAAGGAAAGCTGATGTGACATAGAGTCCACCTCAGTTTCCTGGGCCATTTAGTCAGTGTGGAATTCTATCTCTGGTCCTGACCAGTGTGAGCAGCAACCTGGAGGGTCCAGGTCAGAGGTCACACATGGCTGCTCATGGATTGAAGCTGCATTGGGGATATTTTGTTTTGTCCAAGGCATAGTCAAATTTCATATTGGATGCTAATATTTTAAAGTGGATAAATTTTAAGAATTGGGATTCCTAACTTCTCTGGAAAGAAAAACAAAACAAAACAACCAAACCTCACATCTTACATCTCAGAATGGCAACAAACATCTGGATAAATTTTTGGTCATGTTATGTCCCCAACTCTGGGCCTTCACACAAGGAAACAGTGTAGGGTTGCAGCCTGGGCTATGGACTCTGAATTCCAGATCTGCCACTTGTTAACTGTGCATTCTCTAAGCATCAATGTCTTTGGACTGATGGAGCAGCTCAAGTGGTACAGCACCTGCCTAGCAAGCATGAGGCCCCGAGTTCAAACCTCAGGGCTGAAAAAAAAAAAAAAAAAAACCAAAACAGATAAACCCAAAAACTAGGACTGATTAAGACAACAAAGTTTTCTCAAGCATTTACTATGTGCCAGGCATTATTTGACACACTGGAATGTAAAGATCCTTGCTCTTGTGGAGCTTGTATATGGGAGAGGGGGGTGTAGATAGGCCATAAACACATAAACATAACAAGCAGCTAAGTTATACAGTGGGCTGAAAGGTGACCAGTGCTATGAGTAAACAAAAGTCAAAGCCTTTTTTTTTTTTTTCCTGGTACTGGGGCTTGAACTCAGGGCCTTATGCTTGCTAGGCAGGCACTCTACCACTTGAACCACTCCACCAGTCCTGAGAGCTTGATCTTTAAGTAAAGTCTTGAAGGAGGCCAGGGAACTGACCACTAGCTAACTGTGGAGCTGCTAAGTGGAGGCCCTGAGGCTTGATGTTGGAGGAACAGGAGGCCAGTCCCACTGGAGAGGAGGGGAGTGTATTGTTGGAGGTTACAGAGGAAGCAGGGGGGGGGGAGCGGAGTCAGCCAATGGGAAAGGCCTTGTAGGCCACGGAGAGGGTAGGAATGGAAGTGTTCTCAGCAGAGGAGGAGCTGGGTCTAACAGGATGGGTCTGGCTGCTCTGTAGAGATTAGATTCTGGGAGGGCTGTGTGTGTGTGTGTGTGTGTGTGCGCGTGTGTGTGTGTGTGTGCGCGCGCGCGTGCGCGTGCGCGTAAAAGGCAGAATCAGGAGGTCAGCGAGAAGCTGCTGCAGTGATCCAGATGGGAGGCCATGGTGGCCCAGATCAGGAAGCCAGCCTGGCCGAGGGAGTGGCTAGGGACAGGATATGCACCTCAGGGTTCCTTGCCAGGACCTGCTGAAGCACTGGCTTCAGGGTGTGGGAAAAGGAGGGAGTGAAGTATGCCTCTAAAGGCTTTGGTGGAGCAACCAGGAGGGTGGAGCCACCACTCTCCAAAGTGGGGACAGCACAGTGAGCAGGTTTGGTGGGGGAGGGGTGATAGGACAGTTTGGGACAGTTGAATTGAAATTCAACCTCCAGGTGAATACACATTTGGAGTTCAGAAGCCAGGTTTGGGGTAATGCCACCTCATGGTTTGGTGTCAGGTTGTGAATTCATGTCTGTCAAACACTGAGAATAGGGCCTGGCCAGTAGCCAGTGCCAGTAGGGGTCAGTTGTTCTTAAGGTCCTGGAAAAGAGCCCACCTTTGCCTTCAGCCCCTCCTCCTCTTCCAATGAGAGATTTTCTTCCCACACAGGGTCAGGAAATCTATACTCTGGGGCAATGAACCAAACCTGCTAGCACTGAATTACAGTCTGGGGCTACCTTGGGCAAGTGACTTCACCTCTCTGATCATTATTTAGTGGACCTGTAAAGTGAAGAAAATAATCCCCTTCTCAAACAGCTGTCCTAAGGAGCAAATGAGAAATATGGACTAAAGCACACAGTAGTTGCTTCTGTGAATGTTTCTTTTCTCCCTCCCCACAGCCCAGTGATCTGGGAGAAAGGAAGCACAGGCCACGTCCATCCCAGCAGTTTATTGAAAGGGGAGGTGGGATGGAAGGGATATGGGAGAGGAAGGGGGCACAGGGCACAAGAGCGGTGGTGTCTCTTCTGGTCAGGAGGCCTGGAACCTCCAGGCCCTAAGGGACTAAGGTTGGGAACAGGGATGAATGGGATCCTTAAGTGTGTCTCTCCAGCTGTCTCTGAGCTCCCCCTAGAGGCAGAGAGGGGAGTGACGCCTCTGGCTAGAGAGCCTGCAGGAGAGGGGCTGGACCTCCAGAAGGGCACATTGGTATCAAGGTCAAGGTCAGGGTCAGGCCCAGTGGGCATTGGTGTCTAAGGGGGTTGACTATGAGAGCCAAAAACATCTCACTTCTGTCCATGGCTCTTAGAACAGGATGCCTGTCATGTCCAGGTGGAGCCAGCTAGTTTCTGGGCCAAATCTATTCCCCATCCCTAGGAATCCCCTGGGAATCAGGAAGCTGTGGGCTCTGCTCCAGCTGCAGAGCCAGCCCTAACCAAGGAAGAATCTGGATATGGGGGGGTTCTAGTTCCAGCAGACTGCCTTGCTCTGTGACCTTGGACTCACCACCTCTCAGCCTCCCTCCCTTAGCCGCCTCCCTCCCTTAGCCACCTCACCTGCAAACTGGGGGAAGTAATTGCCCCTGATGGGGTGGACTGTGGGGCTCGCATGCCAAAATGTAGGAGAAAATATGGTAGGAGGGGCCAATGTCTTCACACCATCCTGAAGGGTAAATCCAAATGAGCACCTTGGACCCACTCTGAGGCATCCTGGTGGATGAGAACTACCCCCATCATCTTTGTCCAGGTCGTGGGGACATCACAGAACTCTGAAATCTGGTCAATCCCCTCACAGCAGAAAGGCAGGAACTAATTTAAAAGGGTAGGGGCTCACCCCAGGTCACAGAGAGGAAAGAGTGGGACCAGGATGAAGGAAATGTTCTCTGTCCCTGAGGGGCTTGGGAAGGAGGATGGGTGGGGAGTCTGGGGAGGCCTAGGGAAAGGGTGATATCTTGGATGATTTGGGCCCCACCCCTGGGGAAGGGGATAGGGATTTGAGCCCCAGAACTGACCTTGAGTTGGGCCTTCTGGGGGCTTGGCTAGAAGGACCTTGCTGAAAGGGAGAGGTTGGGGTGCAATGGGAGGACAAGGTGTGCTAGGGAGGAGGAAGGGATATGGCTCCTCCTCAAGCTGCTGTGCTCAAGAGTCCCGCTTTGGCTGGATGGTCTGCACAGAAGACGGCCCAAAGGGGCTAGTGGATGTCGAGAACCATGACTGACCGCTGGCATCACGGAAGATGGGGGACAGCTGCTCCGGCTCATCCCTGAAGACCTCCACATGGCTGTCAGCTTCAGTGTCCAAGGGCTCTGCCTTGATGTCTGGGCTCAGCCAGCCCGTCATGGCCCAGACAAGGCAGATGGCCAGCAGGATCCCGGCTGCCCCACACAGTGCTATGCCTGCCAGGCGGCAGGTGCTCAGGGCTCGGTTATAGTCGGCTGCTTGATCATCCAATGACGGAAACTTACCATCACTAACGGTCTCCAGCTTGGGGGGCACCGCATAGCCGGTGGTGAGGGCTGCCACCCCCAACAGAAGAAGCAGGGTACCTGAGGACAGGCAGATCTGGAGAAAGGCAGACAGAACAGGAGGGAGTCAAGATCATCTGGAACTCTGAGGTATGGGATCATCTTGGATCCCAACTGCACCAAGAGGAAGTCAGAGCCTTAACAGGTGGAAGTCACAGAACATACTTGTGAGATCTGACACCAAGCACAAACCATCACGTCCTATTTGCAATCTGTCCTTGTTTGGGTTGGTTTGATTTTCTGAAGTAGGGCCTCACTAAGTAGCTCAGGCTAACCTAGCCTAGAACTCGTGATCCTTCTGCCTCAGCTTCCCTAGTGCTGGGATTACAGACATGTGCCGCTACCTAACTCTATTTGAAAACTTGAGACCTTGTGCTTCATTTCCTTTCCAGCTCCCACCTGGCAGTGGTTTGCACCAGTCAACCTTGATCCCCTTCTGTCATTATTTGGGTCCCATCTCAATGTCTTATCCTTTCTACCGTCTCTCTGTCTTCACTGGATTAATATCCATGCAACCTTGGGTCTCATCCCAAACCTCCCCTCCTCAGGAATCCTTCCAGGACACCCCGGCCTGTGTGACTGTCCTGCTCTGCCCTCTGCATGACTCTAAAACCTGTCCTTCAGTGTGCTCACCTCGGAGCACACTTGGACCTGGATTTTGGTTTCTAGGTAGGTGATGTCTGCCTGGCCCACTGGACTGAGGGCCCTATGAGAGCAGAGACTGCCTGTTTTGCCCACTATGTGTCTTTCATGCCAAACACAGTGCTGGCACAGGGTAGAGGCTGAATAAAGATTTGCCCAATGGCTAAACAGACCGCAGATAGGAGCTCTTCGAGGACGAGAGCCATTCTGTGTCCCCAGGAGCCTGCACAGTGCCTGGCAATAAGATGCTGCAGGATTTTTTTTTTTTTTTTTGATACAGGATCTCACTATGTGACCCAGGCTGGCCTCGAACTCGGGATCCACCTTCCTTTGCTTCCCAAGCACTGCTTAAAATACTTAAACACATAGTCACCTTGTCCTGGGAATCTTCCCTGAGACTGCTGACCCTCCTGGCATTTCCTGCACAATGGACCCAGTTACACACATGGGTGCCTTGCTTCCCCACTGGAGTGAAGCCCTTTGGAAGCTGAGGGACACTCTGCCTCAGTTCCTAATTCTTGTTTAGCAAAGAACTGTGCCCATCACAGGGACTCCTGTCTGACAACGCTCCTTGATAGTGATGGACACTGACTGCTCCTCTCACATCTCTCCCCGCCCTGGTCATAGGAAACCACAGTAAGACTGAAGTGAGCAAATTCCTCTTGCTGTCAGTGTATTTCCACTCCCTGGGCATAGTAGTTAGTTCGGGGTTGACAAGTGACCCGATCAGAGCCAAGAGTCCTGGGAATGAACTATATTGTTTCTTGTAAAAAGGAATGTGTGTGTGTGTTTGTTTGCAACAGGGTCTTGCGATGTAGTCTAGGCTACCTACAACTCAAGATCCTCCTGCCCAGCCTCCTGAAGGCTGGGATTACAGATGTGTACTAGCAAACCTAGCTAGAGATGTGTTTTTCATTTCTGGCTATCTTTTCCCTCTCCATATAAACTATAGAATCAGCTTGTTGATAGCCATAGAATAACTGTCTGTGACTTTGATTGAGATTGTGTTGAATCCATAGATCAGGTTGGGGAAAACTGACATCTTGACAAAATTGCATCTTCCTACTTATGAACATGGAATATCTCTCCTTTATTTAGTTTAATATCATCCATTAGGGTTTTGTAGTTTGCTTCATATTGTACATATTTTGTTAAATTGAATTTATCTCTTTCTCTCTCCCTCTCTCTGCTAATATAAATGGTAATTCATTTTTAATTTCTGGCTATTTGGCATTGTTGCTTTCCTGAATGAAATTTCAGGAGGAAACTCTGAGTTCCCTTAAAGGTCTGAAGGTCAGCCAGTAGTGGCTTTTTGGGGAACATGTGGGAAGAGCCTGAAGCTCCCCATAGTGATGAGAAGCCTAAAGACTAAGACAAAACTTGCAAAGTCCTCAGTATAATGGTTTAAATTGAGGGATCAAACTTTGCCTAAAGTCATCCAACCTCTGTTCTCTTCCAGAAAATGGGCTTTTATTACTAAAACCAATTCAAATTGGGTTTTTTGTTGCTGGAATATGCAAGACTCCTACTTACACTATCCCTTTTCTTTCTACTCTCTGAGTCTCAAATCCAGCTCCAGCTCCTCCATGAATTCCCCAGAATCACAGGACTTGCTCTTCTGGCCTTACCTTCCAGCACAGTGAGGGCCAGGGTTGGCGGGGGCACAGGACCGGGGGTCCTTCAGGGTCATCACTGAGAGCAGTGCCTGCACAGTCTTCATAGAAGAGGTGCAGATAGGAGCGGACCCCGTACCACTTGCTTTCCTCCACGTTGGTGCCATGGCTACAGGAACAGGAGCGACTGCAGCTCAGCATCGTGGGTCCCTGTAGGTACAAAGTGCGGCTGTTGAAGGATCAGTGGAGATGCCCATGGTGATCCTCCAACCCCCCTGAATCTTGGTGCCCCACCCACTTTTCCTCCCACTATGGAAACCCCACCCCTAGCACAGCACCTTCCCTGAGTACTCTATGAACAGCATTGGCTGAGTGTTTCTGCTTAGCCCAGTGCCGGGCTATCAGGTGTCAATCGTGTGCATGTTTACGCTGAGGTCACCCAGTAACTGGAGCCCCAGACTTACCACTTCCTCACTGTGTGACCTTAGACAAGCACTTTCACCTCTCTATGCCTCAGTTTCCTCATCTGTAAAATAGGGCCAGTAATGATATCTGTTTCATTCAATTGTGTCTGGTGTTGAGAAAGGGTAGCTGTTATGATTAATACTGAAATTTCTTTGTTGTCATTTCCATCCTGAATTGAGGGTGGGGGCTCCATATCTGGAGTGAGAGGTCCTCCTGTCCCTCTGGCCTCAAAGCCTCAGTCCCCTTTTGGCCCTTCCTAGAAGTAATTGTCATGGCTGATTCCAGCCCAGTGCACTGGAGTCCCCAGGCTGCAAGACCCTAAAAGTTCCTCACCAAGGATGTCCCTCTATAGCCTCCTAGTTCCAAGGAGGCCTCCACAGGAGGTGAAACTCAGGAGCCTCAGGATTAAAGGCTCTCTGGCTTACTGTTGCTGGGTTTCTAGAGAATTCTGTTGAACAACCCACTTCCAACAAAAGGGGTCTCTGAAGCTCAGGGATAGAAGGGGGCCTCCAAACTAGGGCTGAAATCAAAGCCTGGAGGTGCTGGGAAGGACTGGGCTGTGTTCCCTCCCTCCTCCACCATAAGCCTCACTGAGACAGATCTCAGGCTCCCTCTCACTCTAATCAGCGTGATCCTCATATTGCTGCGTACTCACCAGTACACACACACAAAGGAGCACCATCCAGAGACATACCCAGGCAGGTACAGAGACACACCACAAAACAACACGTGTAAACACACAGATGTAGACACACACACATATCTGGGGATGCTTCTTGGAGACCCCGCGGAGCCACACAAATGCACATGATTGTTGTCATCAATAAAGCCTGTCCTCGATCGCGGCTGTGCACTCTCCCCACAATTCAGGGGAAGGAAGAGAAAGGGGAGGGGGAGTAATTTTTAAGTGACAGAGACTGGGAAATGTCGGAGACCAAAAGCGAAAGAGTGACAGACAGAGGGAGGAGAGGGCAAGAGGGCTCAGAGCAGGAATCCGGCAAGGAGGGGTGGAGGGCATGGCCGGCGCCGTGACCGCCCCTGCAGAGGCGCTGGAGAGGCCGGATGAGGACCCGAGAGGCGGTAGGAAAGTCAGAGCAGCGAGAATTAATTAGAGACCTCAGGAGAGGGGGCGGGGAGGGGACTCCGGGACTGCGGGCCTGAGTCAGTCCCTCCCCTTCAGCTCACCGCTCACCCCTCCCCCAAATGTATCTAGCCCGTACTGGAGAAGGAAGGTGACCTTGACAATGTCTCCCCCTCTGCCTGATCCCTCCCCCTCCCAGTTTAGGGTCCGCGAAAAGAGGTCTAGCAAGCCGGGGAGAGAGGAGGGGGGCAGGGTTGCCACGGAAACTGCTGGGGAGGTGTCCCTAACCGGAACGGGGTGGTAAGGGAGCGGGAAGAGGAGGGGGCTGCAGTGTCTGGGGCGGGGGACTGCGGCAGGGGAGGAGAAGGGAGAGAAGCGTACAGGAAGGTGACAAGCCTAAGGGCCTGAAGATGGATGGACTCCGTCGCCTCGGCACGGCCTCATGCAGCACCCAGACCCCTCATACCCAACGCCTCCAGCGCCCCCGCGCAGCCCAGGCGGGGAGAAAGGCATCCTCCTAGGGGGTGACCAGGAAAATAAGCCCCCGCCCCCAGCATCTCTTTCTGATCCGACCACTCCTCCCCTGGGCAAAATTAACGGCATCCTTTCCCCTAGAGCGAAACTGAGGCAGAGCGAAGTGGGAATGGGGTTTTTTTAGAGCGATGTGGGGGATCTGGTCCTTTGACGCCGCTACCCGGTCTATCAACCCTAAAGTGTTGAGGGGTGACATGGCTGGTGCTGTCTCTTCTTCTACTTCCCCGGGACCCCCACCTCCCAGAGCCCGAGGCGGGGGCGCAGCCAGGGCGGGGGCTGCGGGGGGCGGGGGCTGGGGGGAGGGCGGACCCTCTCTGGAGCCCCAGAGACGGCCTGGCAGGGTCGGGCCGCGCGTGGGGCAGGGCCGAGCTCACCTGTCTGCCTGGGTCTCCGCGGAGCGAGCAGGAGCTGGGCTGGAGCTGGAGCGGAGCGCAAGCGGGTTTGCTTCGCGCCTGCGCCGCAATCCCGGGTGCAGGGAGCGGGAGGGGGGGGGGTTGATACGCAGGCAGGAGGAAGAGGGGAAGAGGGGAAGAGGGGGCGCCCGCCCGCCCCTGGGGCTGGCGCTGCAGATTGCGATCCAGCCAGCTCCCCGAATTCCCCGACCCCTCCTGAGTTCCCTTCTTTCTCTGGGACCCCAGGCTCCTCATGGAGACCCCAAGGCCTCACTCCCTCATGCCAGGCCCTCGAACTCCTCACTCAAGCTTCCATCACTCCTCAGGCCCCCACCCCTCCCACTGCAGACCCATCCCCTCCCGAGCCCCCATCCCCTCAATCTCTCCTCTGGGTCTCCATCTCTCACGGAACCCCCACTCCAGTATAGAAACACACACCTCCTCTCCGAGACCCCACTCTTCACAGCCTCCCATCTCTGAGTCCCCACACATCATCGAGCCCCACCTGTGTCTCACTGGCAGGGGAACCCCTAATCTCTCACTGAAGACCTCACCTCTCACAGCGTCCTCCATTCTTTTTTCTTTCTTCCTCCCCACCCCCCCCCGCCCCCCACTCAGGGCCTCACACTCGCTAGGCAGGCGCTCTACCACTTGAACCAATCCATGAGCCCTACTGAGTTCTCCATATTCTCTCTCTCTTTCTTGCGGTGTTGGGGTTTGAACACAGAACCTCACGCTTGCTAGGCAGATGGTCTACCACTGGAATCACTCCACCAGCCCTGTTTTTGTGTTGAATATTTTGGAAATAGTAGATCTTGAACTATTTTGCTCCGGCTTTCCTTGAACCACGATCCTTCTGATTGCTGCCTCATGAGTTCTCTGGGGTTATTTGTTTGTTTGTTTGTTTTGTTTTTCTCTCTTTGGGTATCTACCCCTGGCTACGAATTAGGCCCTGCTACCTTGAGAGGGAGTTGGAATGGGGAGGACCAGGTATTGGGAGTGACTCACCCTTTCTCCTTTAGAAAGAGCCAATGTTTGTCTCCCTTCCAGCTTTCCCTCCAGTTCTGCCCTGAGCAGTGTCTGGCAGCAGCCACCTTCCTGAAGAATTAGCCTTTGCCTAGAAGGCATCAACTTCACACCCTGCTGTGTGGTCCCACATTTGTTGTATTGTCTTGAGAAAGTCATTGTATCCCTCCAAACTTCATAGAGACCATTGCACAACATCTCTTCTGTCTCTCCCTGTTCTGGAGGCTGGGGTGAATGAGGTCTGTGACATGGGGACACCTCTTTGTTGTTCACTTTGTCCCTGAGTCTCCCTGTGCACTGAGTAGCCTGCTCAAGAACTGTTTACTGAGTGTAGAGTAAAATAGCTATGAACTCATAGTCCTCCTTATGTATTTAAGTGCTTTCTATGTGCTACAGTGCTCACTCATTTAACCGTGTGTGTGTGTGTGTGTGTGTGTGTGTGTGTGTGTGAAGCTAAAGCTGAAGGCCTTGTGTGACAACAGGAGAGACAGGCAGAAGTGAGACCCTGAAAGCTTCATAAACCCACCAGGAGGGAGTTTGGATTTCAACCCAAGGGTAGTGGGGAGCCAAAGAAGGTTTATAAAGAAGCAAGGACTTGTTTGGAGGTTCTAGCAGGGAAGCACAGCTACTCATATACCCTTGACAGATGTTGCAGCCAGATTGCTCTAGAGACAACCAGGCAATGGTGGTTCACATCTATAATCCTAGCTACTTGAGAGTCTACGATTGGGAGGATTAAAGTTTGAGGCCAGCCTGGGCAAATAGTTGTCGAGACCTCATCTCCAAAAACAGCCAGAGCAAAATGGAGTGGAGGTGTGTTTCAAGTGGTAGAGCACCTGCTTTGCAAGTGTGAAGCCTTGAGGTCAAACCCCAGTCTTACAAAAAGAAGGAGGAGAAGGAAGAAAAAGAAGGAAGAAGGAGGAGGAAGTAGAGGAGAAAATGTGATTTGATTTGGGGATAGGGAATTGTGAAGGTGGAACTCTTGTGAAGTGGTTTGGAGAAAGTGTGTATGTGTGTGTTAGAAAGGGCAGAGGGACAGAGTGCAGTGGGAGGGGATTTGAGGGAGGCCCATGTATCCAAGGAGGGGATGGATGAGGTTCTGGAGGTGATGGGTAGGGATGGGGTCAAATTTATAGAGAAATGGGCTGACCCCACATTTGCTGTGGCACTGGGAAGAGGAACAGGGCAGGTTGCTCTGGAGTTGAACTCTGCAAGTGAAGAGATCCAGACTTGAACCTTCCTGCCACTTGCAGCTTCTGTCTTTAGCCACTCTGAGCCTCAATCTCTGTCTATAAAACAGAGATACGTATTTGCCTCTCCAAGGTGCTGAGAGAATGGAATGAGCTGTGCATATAATGAGATATTCAAAACCCTTGGAACGGGAAGACTAAGAATGCAATAAATTATTGTCGTTATTACCATTACGTGCCATTAGTTTGTAGTGAGTAGGGAGGAAAGTTGAGTGATGTGACAGCTGATAAACTGCCTGCTGTAGAGGAAACAAGAGAAATTATGAAGAGGAAGCTTTAGTTTAACAGGGGGATTAAAAGCAGCCAGGCACTGGTGGCTCATGCCTGTAATTCAAGCTACTCAGGAGGCAGAGATCAGGAGGATCCAGGTTCAAAGTTAACCCCAGGCAAAATTAAACCAAGACCCTATCTCAAAAATACAAACACAGTTTGGAGGTGTGGCTCAAGTGATAGAATGCCTGCTTTGCAAGTGTGAAGTACTGAGTTCAAACCCCATTTGCACCAAAAAAAAAAAAAAGATGGTGAAGCAGATAAAAAGTACAGGCCAGTGCATTCCACCCATAGTTCCTGCTACTTGGGAAGCTGAGGCAGGAGGATAATTTGAGCCCAAGAGTTGAAGACCAAACTGGGAAACAGCAAGACCCTGTCAAAAAAAATTAAAAAAGGAAAAAAGTCCACATATTGTATGATTCCATTTATATGAAATATCCAGAGTTGATAAATCCAGCTGGGTATGAAAAAGAATGGGGAGTTTCTGCTTAAAGAGTTTCCTTTTGGGGTGAAAAAGTTCTGAAACTAGATAATGATGGTGGGTGTTCAGCACTGTGCATATACGAAATGTCACTGGTGGTAAATTTTATGCGTATTTTACCACAATTTAAACTTTTTTGACAGTACTGGGGTTTGAACTCAGGGCTTTGTGCTTGCTAGGCACACACTCTACCATTTGAGCCACGTGCCTGGCCCCTCTTGTTTTAGGTATTTTTCTGTGTTGGTTGGTTAGTTTGTGGGACTGGGGTTTGAACTCAGGTCTTCACACTTGCAAAGCAGGCACTCTACTACTTAGCCATGCCTCCAGTCCATTTTGCCCTGGTTATTTTGGAGACGGAGTTTTGAGAACTAGTTGCCCCAGCTGGCATCAAACTTTGATCCTCCTGACCTCAGTCTCCCAAGTAGCTAGGATTACAGATGTGAGTCACTGGTGCCCAATTTAGGTATTTTTCAAGTAGGGTCTGGCATTTATGCCTGGGCCAGTCTGGACAATGTTCCTCCTGCTTATGCTTCCCATGTAGGTGTGGTGCCCCACTTTTATTAATTGAAATGGGGTATTGAGAGTGTTTTTCTTCAGGCTAGCCTCAAACTGTGATTCTCCCAATCTCTGCCTCCAGAGTGGCTGGGATTACAGATGTGAGGATGTAAGCTACTGCACCAACCTAATGTTACGTGTTTTTTTACCACACGCACACGCAAAAATATAAGTTGATTTCTCTCATTCCCCTGCTCAGAGCCCTCTGGTGTCATCTCACCTTAACCTAGGATAAAAGGAAAGGGTTGTGCAGGACTACATAAAGATGGTCACAAAGTCTTTGTCACTCTGCCTTTTGACAGGCAGTTTATCCTTTCCCCATGCCTTTGAGTTAGCATTAACCAGCAAAATGTGATTGAAGTCATTCTGCACCGGCTTTGTCCTCTGGCTGTCCAGAGCACAAGTCCCCTCCTTCCCCTCTTGGACCACTCATATGCAAGATGCTCCTCTTTGTCCCCAGTCCCCATGCTAAGAAGCTAAGCCACACGGAGAGGCCTCATACAGGTGCATCAGTCAACAGCACAGCCTGACTTCCAGTCTGCAGCTAGTGCCAGCTACTGCACAGAAATGTCCCATGAGTGAGTCATTCTAGACAGGCCTCCTGTCTTCAGATAACATCACGTGAGCACAAGAACCACCCCCAATGAATCCCAAAAACCCACAGAATCTCGGCAGAGAGTCAAATGGTGGTGTTTTAAGTTACTACCATGATCTGTAAGACCTCAAGCATCTACTGCTTCCCCCTGCCCCGAACTCTGTGACCTGGGCTCCTCCATGCCCCCACTCATACTGGACCCCAGCCACACTAATTCTTCGCTATTCCTTGAATGAACTAGCACATCAGGCAAACTCCCACCTCACCTCTTCAGGCCCTCTGTACTCGTTTCTCTACCCTCAGTGCTTTTTCTTCAGGTTGATGCAGAGCTGGCTTCTTGCTCTATTTAAATCTCTGTCTTATCAAAGGTTGATTTTTTTTTCTTTGTATTCTTTTTTTTTATTCATATGCGCATACAATGTTTGGGTAATTTCTCCCCTCTTCCCCCAATCCCCTCCCTTACCTACCCGACCCCCTCCCTCACTACCAGGCAGAAAAAGGTTTTTTTTGGCGATGCTGGGAATCAAACCCAGGGCCTTGTGCATGTTAGGTAAGTGCTCTACCACTGAGCTCCACCCCAGCCCTCAAAGGTCAATTTAAGCAGTGTGGCAGAGACATAAACTGTCCATGTATTTCACATCTGTTTCCCAGTCCTTTCAGAGCTGGGCAAATCCATGTGACTCCTGCCCAATGAACTCTGGTGTGTGTCACTACAGGGCCAAAGCCTTTATTCCACTTGTCACCACTCCGTGACAAGCCACCCCAAAGCTTAGTGACTGGAAAATGCAAGGATCAGTGTTTTGCTCTCAAATCTGCAACTGGGGCAGGCCTCAGTGGGAAGGTTCAGATCTGTTCCATGTGACCACAACTGGGGATGCTTCACAGGGAACTAGGATGATCCCTTTCCAAGATGGCTGACTCATGGCTGCCAACTGGTGATGACTGTTAGCCGGGCACTCAGCTGGCTCTGAGAGCCAGGGGCTTCTGCACAGTTTCTTGAGCTTCTTCACAGCCTGGTGGCTGGACACCAAGAATGAGTATCTCTAGCAAGAGGAGGTATGGTAGCACACACTTATAATTCCAGCTACTCCAGAGGTGGAGGCAGGAGTTGGAGGCCAGCCCAGGCAAAGTTAGTGAGACCCTATCTCCAAAATAAAGTACAAACAAAAGGGCTGGTGGTATGACTCAAGTGGTAGAGTACTTGCCTAGCATGTGCAAGGCCCTGGGTTCAATCCCCAGTACCAAGACCCGGTCTCAAAAAAAACAAAACAAAAAACAAAAAATCCCCAGTACTGCCTGGTGCTGGTGGCTCATGCTA